CAATTATTTGAGCTAGATGTCTTTTTCCTGATGAAGTGATTACTATTGGTCTGTTGAAAGCCACTGCATTTAGAGAAGGAGTGTGCATTCACTCAGAAAATGAAAATTCCAACTAGCATCTTTTCTGCAATGTACAGCGTTTAGATAGGAGAAATTGAACATTCTCTACTTCCTCAGAATGAAACATGTTGGACTATCACTGTGTTACTGGGCTTCCCTCCATGTGTTGGGTGTCACTGTGCTCCTTTCTGGAGAGTCCTTACTGCAAACCAGACTCGTGTCAGGAGCAAACAGAGAAGGACAAGCAGAGGGCAGTGGGAAAGCAGACTGCTCAGGAGGATTTGGGGCATGAAAACTGCTGAGGGGTTTGGAGTGACTGAAACATGAGCTGTTTATGCAGATGATTCATGTGTTGATAGTGGCAGGTTTCTCAGGCAGCTAACAGGTGTGGACACTTCTTATTCCAAATGGGAGGAAGGTGTGTGGATCTATATTATCTTCACAGAAGGCAAGAAAATTGAGAAAATTATGTTGGTTAAGTCCAACCCTGTGTAATCAAAGGGGTGGTGAACAGGTGTGCTGCTCATGTGATGCCATTCTCCTACCAAAGCAGCTGTAGCTATTTTGGTAGATTTATTGGCACTTTGCACTTCTTGTAGAAGTGCTTCCTATGCTGTGAAGTAACAGGGATTGGCTTTATTCCTTTAAAAAAAAAAAAAAAATATTTACACCTATGTCAATATATAAAGACAGAGGGAAATGAAAGAAAGAAACTTACACCAAAGTTATTACAAACTTTTTAACTGGTTATGTAGGCCAAATTATCCACATTGCTTTTAGTTTCCTTATGTTAAAACAAGTATGTAGATTAACAGAACATCCTTTAGTGTTGTTCAATTGTATTAGGATATACTTTGTGTATCTCCAATTTTTGGTGCAGTTAGGCATTTCTCAAAGTCTTGGGTCAAGGTTACTTCTCTTCTGAGAAGACTTGATGTTGTGAAGTCAGGAATAGTTCTGCTAACATTTATGACTTGTGTACCTACTAAAGTTTTGTTATTCAGTATCTACAAGGCCATGCAGAACCCAACATTTCAGGCAGAATTGGTTAATGTAAAATTAGTACATCTCTGCTCAGATTAAAAAAAAAATCTCTCTGCTAACCCTCAAATGTGTGCAAAAATGGAAATTTTAATTTAAAAGAATGCTGTTGAAGTATGTTTTTAGTAGCAGCAAGGATCTCTGTGTTTTGTCTTTTCATTAGATCTATTTACTGTCCCCTGTAACACGCTTCTAATCTGTTTTTCTGGTAAGACAATGTCTATTACTAGAAATTAATAAGATAAAACTGCTTTAGAGCAAATTCAGTTTGGTACTGTTTGGCCTTGATGTTTGAAGTCAGTTACCTTCCTTTAAAAATGTTGAAACTGAATTTATTTTCATCTGTTAAATTAATTGTTTTGAAGAGTTTGCAGTGTTTTCTATATTCAGCTCATATTTTAAAATAATTTTATTGAACAGGCACTACCTATTGAAAATGAGTAAGAAGAAAAGGTGAATGTACAATGAAAATAGACCTAGCTTTTGCATAATGGGGATCCATGTGAAATTTTCACCTTGAGAATGGATTCCTGATGTGAATTATTTTCATACTGAATGAAGGCTGGGATCCATTTCTAGTCTAAGACACTTGTTTCTTAAAGTTAATTCCCATGGATCTAGCATTCCACAACAAAAAGCAAAAACATTTTAATGATCTCAAAAATTTGATTTGTTGCAGTTTTAACTTGGGTATTGCATGAGGTCTTGGTTACATGTTCTTAACCGTAGCTTTTTATTTCATGTTTTGCATTCAAGTTGAGTTGGCCAATAGCATGTTTAAAAGCTTTAGAAGAGAGGCATGCTGTATCTCACAGTCTCCAGAAAAGAAAGCAGACTTTTCTACATTTATGCCCTCTGTTAGGTTGCACAGTGGGAGGTCTTCATAAGGCTTTCTTTCTCCAAATAACAGAAGACCTACCTCCAAAGTTAAAGTAACTTACTTTAACAGACTTCTGAAAGTTTCTGAAAGTGTCCTAGGTAGGCTGAAATCTTGGAGCTTACAAATTGTTGATGGGCATGTGTAGCAACAGATGAAGCTATTGATGTTTGAAGGTCATCTGGTAACAAATTGCTATTTGTAGGCAGAAAACTTAGTCTACAATGGAAAATATTTTGTCACATAATAAACAGTAAACTGGTAGAATTGTTTTAGATTTTTCAAGGTTTAACGTATAATAAGTTAAAAGAAAGGTATATCTTAAAGATATGAGATATGACATGACCTCCAAATTTGTAGGAAGTTCATATCTGTCTTCTAAAGACTGGCATTTTATGCTGGTGGAAGGATCACTCAAACATGTATTTTATGATGTTTTTATGTATTTATTTTTTTTCCCCCACTGTGTCTATTGTTGTCCTGGAAGAGCATATAATTGGCTAGATGATATAAACCAGATTGGTGGTGTATTCTGTGACCAGGTAGTTCACAGGCTATTGCTAAGCAATGTGAAACTCTTTTTGTGGAAGAAGGTGTAAAACATTTCTACAGCATGAATGAATGAGAATAAAAATTTTAAATAGTTGTCTGATTTTACAGTTGTAGAGACAGTGTCAATAGTGGTGGGATAGGTGTGAGCAGTGCTTTAGCTGCTTGCATACTTGATAACTCTGAACTGTAGTAATATGCAGTGAAGCTGGGGATTATTTGTATGGATGGCAGCTGTACTGTAGCTTCCTAGGAATCTAAAGATCAGAGCCTCTGGTGGGCAGCCTGTAAAGCCCCTATCAAGTATTTTATATATGTTATTTTTAGACTTGAGTGACATAATAGGCTGTTAGGCTTCATATAGAGAAGCCCTTCTTACTTTCAAAACATTACAGGTATTTCAAGGGAAAACACTAATTTTACGTAGAAATATGTGCATTATCTTTAACATAGCTTTTGAAAGATTTTAGTCTGATTGTTTCTTTTGTGCCACCAGGTGGCATGGGACTACAGTCTGCTTATTTTTTTTTTTTCTTTATTCTAGTATCATCTGCTTATCAATTTCTTCTTGTTTTCAGTTCATCAATTTTATAAATTTCTAGAATTTATCTTTAAACTGTTGGGATTTTAGGATGTAGCTCCTACATCTCATTTAGCTTAATCTGGTTCTGTCATCAAAATATATCCCTGTCTTTTTTGGAAACAGTAGCTGTCTGCCTGTGTTGCATTTTAAAACCTGTTACTGTTTTCAGGATGTATTAATCTAAGAAACAGAAATAACAAGCAGTGGATCAGTGCTTTTCATAGCCCATAAATTGCAGAGACAAGCCAATAGCATTAAAGAAATACTAAAACATATTGTCTGAAAATTATGAAGAACTTCCATAAAGGTAGAATTATAGTAATAACAGTTTAGAATCCAAAAACATGATTGGTAAATCTTGGTAAGGATTTTGTTTTATTTTTTTTTTTTTCATTCCTGAGGACTTTGCAAAGCCAAGAGAATTTGAAAGAATGTACACATCAATTTAGAAAGGAGACCTAATCCTTTGCAAACCACTGTTGCTGAAAAGAAAAAGACAAATATTTCAAGTATATTGCTGTTGAAAGTGAAAAATGTGTCATGTACAGATGTTGTTTCTAATATTATACTACAGCCCTAAGAAAATAAGGCAGTGGTGCTGGGAAAAAGTCATTAAAATCATAAGTCACAGAGTAGCTGTCTACTGAATCAATGGTATTTGTGTTGAATGTAATGGGAAAATGTAGATGCCTGAAACTGAAGCAGGTTTTGCTGTTATGATGGCTGCTTGCAAAAATATCTAATCATGTGTTGTATCTTTTCAGATCTGAATTCAACTTTAATAATAGAAAGAGGCTGTTTTTTTTTTTTTTTGGTTCTCTTGTCACTTCTCGTTACGTTAAAATAATTCTGAGGAAATAAATTTCTGTAAACAATGATAGATATCCCTAAGGTCATATTAAATAATCTGGCCTTTTTGAATCTGTAAAAGCTAGCACCTTCATGCCTGAAAAAAAGGATCCCTCAAATAATTTGGAAGGAGTGGCTAGTACATGAGAGGGTGGTAGCATTTTGGGGTGCCTTGATTGGCTGTGCTTCCTCCTGCATTCCAAGAATACAGTGATTAGATACTATTAAATTGCTTTGTGGGATCTGTCTCTTCCTTCCAAGTTGCTCTGGAAGATGCCTTGACTTCTTTCAATTCATGCTGGTGCTGTTCTACAGCCTTCCTTTTGTGGAACTCCCTACAATGTCTAGAAAATTCTGTTGTTTGGCAATTGAAGATGACCTTCTGATTGAAAATGCCATAAACTTGATCTCTCTTTTACAGTATTTTCTTGATGATTGTAATAGTTCAATTATACAGATTTTTCCTGTATCAGGCTGTTAAGGGATCTCTTACGCCCATTAAGTTCTTTTGTTAATTTCTCTCCAACTTATGCTGAAAATCAGAAAGATGGTATTTATATTTTGTATGTATGGGAAAAACCTGAAATGTTTACAATATCCTCTTAATCCCATCACAATGTGACTGACTTGTAAAAAATTGCTTTCTGTTTGATGTTCTGATAAATGAAAAGATCGGATTTTTGGAAATGAAAGAGGTGAAAAAAGTTGAATTAGATATAATTGCTGCTTGACACTAAAACTTTGAGAATATCTTTGTATCACTGATTAAATCTTGTGCTGTGAATTCAAGTTCACAGAGGAAAAATGTATCTTTTGCTATTTTTTCTTGTACTGGAGAGAGGAACTTCTGTGTGTTGCATCAATTCCTTATTAGTTTGTCTTTATGTAAAATGTAAAATAAAGATATATTTGAATTTTCTTTGTGATCACATACTATTGTGAATTTTCTTTTTTTTGTTGTCATTGGGGTTTTTTGGGTCTGTCAAGAATTTTCCTGAGAAATAATTAAACTTAACTTTTTTTTTTTTTCTTCTGCCCTAGGGCCAGCTTTCAATATTGCAAGAAAAAATAGATCATTTAGAACGTCTGTTGGCAGAAAATAATGAGATTATTTCAAACATACGAGATTCTGTGATCAATCTGAGTGAATCAGTAAAGGATGGACAAAAAAATCCAGAGGCTGTAAACTTCGGTCAAGGATCTGTTTCTGAGCTGTTCCCTTCTGCTTCAGTTTTGCTTGCAGTTGATTCTGAGGATTGTTTGTTTGCTTCAAAAAGTGGAAGTCACAGTTCAGGTGTACAGGTAAGCAGTATGCCTTTAGCTGTTAGTATGTGTTTAATTCTGAAAATGTCAAGTTGCTGCTAAAATCGTGGTACTAAGGGATAATAGAATTGCTAAAGTGACTGCTGTGTTTAACAGATGAAATGAAACTGTTCCTTTATATCTTTTTTAAAAGTTCTCTGGAAATTTAATAATGATTATGAAAAGCCAACATTTGAGAAAGTTTAGAAGTTTTTTTGGAAAAATAAGTAAATCCCCATGGTGATTATTTCCCCACCAGTTCTTTGGAAACAATTTATTTGAGAATCTCTTTGATTTCCCCAAATTCTTCTAAAACTGATGAAAAATAACCTGGAAATTGTGGGTAGACTTGATTTAAAAAGTGGCATATGTGTAGATGAAGCTTGATGGGGAGGTAAAGAATGTTCAAGAATTAGTAATTTCAAAAAAATCTTGGGTCCTTTTGAATGTCATTTCTGTATTTCAGCATTCCTGTGTGTCTCCAGTTTGTATAGGCACTTTGATCAGAAAGGAGGAACATATACCATGTTGACTGGTTGGCATAAACTGCGGAGGTTGAAGTTTTTAAAGTCAAACACTTCAAGCTGAATTTATTTTGCTTTCTGGTGATGCTTGTGAGTTCACAGACTCTTATATATTCAGTTTTAATGGAGTGATTCAGGAGCACTGAGAATACTCTGTGAAGTTTGTGATCTGTACTGTTTTTGTGAGTCTTGTGGGAGTATTATAAATATTCATAGTACTCTAAAGCAAAGATTAAATTTGAAGTCCAGCTTTCTCATTTCAGAATTTGAAGTATTTTTATTTCAGGAGAAAGACAATGGACTTCAGTTAAATAAATACAATAATTAGAACAATTGCAGCCTCTGATGTATCATGCTTAATGCCTTTGGACTCTTCAGGGACAGGCACTACCTTAATGTTTTTTATAGAGAAAACAGATTTTTTAAAGGCAATATCTGAACACCACTTTGTGTGTCTGATATGCATTCAGATTTCTGTGCGGAGAAGTGAAACATCTGTACCAGTGGTTACAGCTTATTCACTGTACAATCTGTTGCCATGTTAGGTGATGTACTTTTTTTTTTTTTCTGTGCATTAAAAATAAGTTCAGGTAAATTAATTTTGAGATAAAATATGTTGTCTTACATTATTGGGCATGTTATGAATGGAAGGTAAAACATTTTCTAAAACTGCTCTTTGTTTTTGCTTCACACTTGCAGGATATAGCTATATCAACCAACTACCTACTACAAATCTAATGGGAATCTGTTGTAGCTAAACTGATTTTGGATGATTTTCTTTACTTTTATGTACATTTGTATGTACATAAGAAGCAAACATTCTGTTCCCCTGCTCACACTTTCCTTTCTTCCATGTGCAGGGAGGAGGGCTTAAATGTTCTCTGTGTCATTCCATGGCACCCTCTGCTCAGCAGGTTATTCACAACCATCATTAAGTCATTTTAATAGTGCTTCTGTACACAGTTAATTTCCCATCCTGTGAGTTTGAACTGCATTTCAGTTATGGAATCTAAGACCTTGACTTTAGTAGAATTCCTCTAGCACCACATTAACAAATTGATCTAAATCACTGATCTAAATAGTAAAACTAAAACCAGTTTTGCTATTTAATACTTTGCCAACACTGATGTATTCTTCATGCTCAATTTATTTGAGACATTTCCAATAATTATTTTGAACACTTTTTGAAAGAAATGTGTTAATTGCTGCTGTTTGTAAACATTAACTTAAACCCATAGATTTTTACATTACTTCTCCCATGTTTGTCAGGTGGGTGTATGAGAGACTAGAAAGTAGCAAGAGCCAATATAGGTGAGATTAAATGTTGGGATAAAAAAAAACAAAAACCAAAAACTATACAGAATGAAGGCAAAAGACTTTTCACTGAATAAATCATGAAAGTTGATTATAATATCCCATAATGGAGAAACCATTGTAAGAAGGTATTCAAATATGTATTAAAAAACCTTGTGATGCTACAGTGAGAAATATTGCTAGATCTGCTACTCAAAGACACGTGATTTTGTAAAATAGAAAAACCAAGTTGTTAACAACATGAGAGCAAAAAATTCTCAAATGGGACAGCTGAAGGATGCTTTTTTCATGGAGGAATTATAAATTAAGAAATTGTTTTGCTACTTGTGCTGTTTGTAAGTAGGTAGAAAACTGTAACAGAACTGGAAACTGAAAAGAAGGCTGACTTGAGAATGCTATAATTTAAGTCAGGTAAAAGACTAGTGTGTACTTTTTCCCAAAAGATAAATCATAGAGACAGGTAATAAAACCACAGAAATGAAGATGACTGGATTAAATATGGATATAATCTGATGCTTTTTCAGTGTAGTAGTTCAAGAAGTATCTGGCATTTTTGCTCAGAGAAGATGGAATTCTCAATAGTCATTATGCTGAGCTGGAGAGTCTTTTAAATAATACAGTGAGGTGTTTTCTCCTCTTGTCCATTTCAACTACTGAAGCATCTAACATCAGGCTTAGTAATGTTACTCTTTTTGAAAATGAAACATGAATCACTCTTTGAAAAGGTCACTTGAAGAGGCACAATATGAGCTTTTATTTCTTTTGAGCAGTGGTTTAGTATTCACTGTTAAGATGTTATAATGTTTTCATGAGATTTATATAATTTCAGCAATTTGAGTCCTTCAGTATAGAGAAAGAGTATGCCCATATAGAAAAAAGATAACTGATTACCTTCCCAATGTTTTAATAAAAGTCTTGTAGCAACATGGCTGTCTTCTGAAGCAGTCGCAATGAAGACAGACAGCATCCTTTTTGAATTTCTACTGTCTACTGTTTATAAAAAGTCCTCTATTTCTTTATCAGTATTTTATACTTATATGTGAATCTAAAATATCTCTGTGAAATACTTTCTTTAATCTCTTTTGCCTTTTACTGACTGGCTTGGAATTTATTCCTCACTTGTAATCATGTAACTTGTTCAAGTGATGATGCAATTTGTAATTAATCCTTTGCACAATTCCTACTGAGGATGGTGTTGTAGGAAAGAGCAAAAGGATTTAACTTCTGTCTTTTAGATTTCTTTTCATAAGTGTAGGGATTTCAGCCTGATCTGGCTTTAGCTGATTTCAGTGGAAGTTTTTCAGTTTTTTCATTTTTTTAAACTGCTTCTAATTAACCTCTGAATCTGAATGGTTGAGGTTGCCAGGGAACTCTGGGTGTTGTCTGGTCCAGCCCTGCTCAGGCTGGGCTATCAAGAGTCAGGTGTTGTGGATCATGTCCAGGTGACTTTTCATTATCTCTAAGGATGGTGATTGCACATCCTGACAGGGCAACCTGTGCCACTGCTGGGTCACCCTCACAAGGAAAAAGCTTTTCCTGGTATTCAGGAGGAACCTTCAGTGTGTGCCCATCACCTCTGATCCTGTCTCTGGGCACCATTGGAAAGAGACTGGCTCCACATTCTCTGCACTCTCTGCCTTTGATTTCCTGGATGCTCCTTCTTGCCATTCTTGAAGACAGGAGTGAGGTTGCTTTCCTCCAGTCTTTGGGCACTTCCAATCACCATGGTCATTCAAAGCTTTTTAAATGTGGCCTTGTAGTGACAACAGCCAGCCCTCATGGGTGCATCCCACCAGGGCCCATGGACTTAGATATGTCTCATTGCGTTAGGTATTCCTTGAGCTGGTCCTGTTTCAAGAAGAGACAATCTGATTCCTGGCCACATTGTCTCTGATAAAGGCCAGAAGGCCTTAGAGAGGCACCCCAGCATGCTAATTTCCCAGAAAGGATTTTGGCAATTTCTGTGTGATTGTGCCTTGTTTGTACTTCCTTGCTTGTCTACAAATGTTGGAGGTGACCCAGTTTTACTGATTTCTTACATTCTTTTTAAAAATATGACATCATTCCTGACCACTACTCCCTCAAAGGGCTGCTGTTGATTCTCTCCTTCCCCTTTTATTTTTAGCCAGAAGCTCCTTAATAGTTCAGCTATCTTCCTGGCAAAGGTACCTCTGCTGCCCTCAGCTGGATCTCATCCCTCCCAAACAGGCACAGATCTGAAAACAGGGTCAGAGAACCCCCAGCACCAACTCTGAGAACAATTATTGATCTGTACTAACACTGTCCTCCTCTCACACTCTTATCCCCCTCACTGGTGCATAGAAGGGAGCCCCATCTGTGACCTTGATTACCTACAGAATTCTGCAGTCAGTTTTGATGCAGTCTGTGCTGCCTCTGGTAGCATCAGTGATACCCACATGGAAGTACAACAAGGGTACTTCCTTGTAGCCATTGAGTTAGACAAGCTTCAGCAGTTCTCTACAATACCCAGGATTCAGGCCTTTGTAAGGCAGCAAACATCTCTAGATGGTTGGTCAGGGACTCTAAGACCTATTTCCTGAATTGCAGTTTCTGTCTCTCATAGTCATATCAGCTTGGTTTGGAATAGCTGTAAAGTTGTGGATGTCAGTAACAAAAAAAAAACAAAAAACAAAAAACCAAAAAAACAAAAAAAAAAAAAGAATGTTATGACTGTAAAAATTAGTATCTTGAAGAGTACATAAAATTGCTTGTCAAATTCAAGCTACATCCATAAGAAAAAACTCATAGGAATGTGTAGAATTCCATGAATTACTACTTTTTAACCAAATAATATTTTCATGGTTGGAATGTCCGAAGAGTTTGTCAGTATTAAGGCCATTCATTGTTAAGTGGCAAATTTACAAAGCATGCACTTACATTTTCTTCAGAACATTGTATTGTAGAGAAAAAATACAGTTCTTCAAACTCAGGTTTTAGAAAATACAGTATTTTGAAAATATGAAATAATAAAATATAATCCGTATTATGTATTGTATAAAATATGTATTATTTATTATTTCTCTAATATATAAATCAGCCTAATAGTGTATTTAGAATATATGCTATTAAGCTAGCCAACTTCAGCATAAACCTTATTTGGGCCCTTCAGACTGACAGTACAGAATCTTCAAGTATTGCACCTGTGTTTTCCACTAATCAATATTGTCCAAATATTGAAGCAATCATGAGGGACAAGTGATGTGAAGCAATCATGAGGGACAAGTGATGTGACAAGATCATCTCACACAGGCCACGGGTGCCTGGTGTACATGGAATCTGTCTGAGGCTATAGATATCTAGTGCACATTGCAGGCCCAGCTCAGGCTCTGCTAGATGCAGGATTGCTGTGTTGTATTCCCTTCTTACATTACCTTGTTTCCTTCATACCTTAAGCTAAGGGCCTGTGGTGGATTGACCTTTTCTGGCTGTCAGATTCCAGCCCATCCAAGGTCAACCCACTGTTTTTCCTTTAAGGACCAGAATCTGTGTCTTGAGGATTAAGAGATAAGGAGTGGTATGGCCAAATTTGGACCGAGCATTGCCAGAGCGAAATAACTGTAGGGATTCTTTTGTTGTTCTTATGAGGTGAAAGGGCAAGGAGTGAAGATTCACCTTGTATGTGGATGTGTGTAAAAAATTCCCTTTCTTAGGATTTTTATGTCACTGTGATTTAATATGGGAAATGTTGGGGATTTTTTGTTTATGTAAATGAAGTTTGTAAACAATATGTGATTGATTTATTGACTGTTCTTAAGTAAGTGCTTCACAGAGATGAGGGTGGAATGCTCTGGGTGCAGATGTCCAGGTGTTGGCAGTGAGGGTCTCCAGTATCTGTGAGGAGAGGCCAGTCCTGCCCTGTGCCAGACACAGCTCCAGACCCACCATGGGGTACAGCCTCCATCAGCAAAGCATGTCAGTTCCTCTGGCAGAATGGGTTTTAAGAAAGGGTAAAATGCTGCCTGACACAGTCTAAAGGCTGAAAACAGGGGAGAAGCCATCCTGTGAACACCATGGTCCTTGATGCAGGAAGCAGAGGAGGCATTCTAGACACTGGAGCAGGTTGGGAAGACCACAGTGTTTCCCTGAAACCTGTGACAGGACCTCATTCAGAGTAGGTGGATATTTTCAGGAGGAACTGGAGCCTGTGGGGGATCCACGCTAGAGGAGTTCCTGACGTGCTGTGTCTTGTGGCTCTCAGCTGGAGCAGGCAAAACATGCGAGAAAGAGAGAACAGCAGAGAGGAAACATTATGGACTTACCTCTCATTATCCAGCTCTATTTCAATTGGCAACAGATTAATTTAATGTTCCCAAAGTCAGGTCTCTTTTTCCTGTAATGGCAATTGGTAAATGACCTCCCCGTTTTTATCTTCACCCATAATATTTTATATTTCTCCCCATGTTTTGTTGATGAGGAAAAATGAGAGACCAGCTGGGTGGAGGCCAAAGTCAACTATTGCAACTAGGCCTTAATTTCTTTAGTCAGATATTTGTTTCAGATGTCTGTAGTTTTTTTAAGTTTTCCTAGCAGGACAGAAAGCACCTTACCACTGGGAAGGTTTTACTCTTGTGGTGCTAAAGTAGTGAATGACTGCAGTAGGAGTCCTTTTTTGTGTAAATGAATTGGTTTTTATAGAAATTTTGTCAGGTGTACAATTGTATTCTAACAGGGGTTTGGAACTGTTTAAAGTTCAGTTATTAATCTAGAGTGTCTGGAATTGCTTGTCTGATGTCAATTCATGTTTGTATGTTGTTTTCCTTCTTAAAAGCAAACCAGAGCCTTACAAAAACAATTTTCTTGAATCTCATATTAGTAGACTCTCTTTGAAGCTATATCCTAAGTTTCCTTAGTTAGCTCCCTAGGTTTCATAGGAACTTGTTAGAGTAATTCTAGAGTTGCTTTATTTATCTGTGACCTTTTTATTTGCATTGACAAGTGACATATGTCCTCCCTTGTACAATTACTATACTAGGGAACAGGAAATGTACGAGGCTTTGTTATAGCAATTTGCTATAGTTATCAACATTTTTGTTGATAGCATCTTTTCAGTTCCTTTTTGTGATTTTGATGTTTGCCTCTATCTCTCTCATGCTGTCATTCCTTCTTGCTCAGTTTATTTCCTTCAGTTCCTGCATTCCCCTGTTTCGGGTACTGTGTTATTTTGTATAATCCTTTTCATAATCTCTTGCCCAATGCCATTGTGAGCTGCCATAATTTTTGTGACTTAAGGCTCTTAATCCTACTGTTTATCTAATCAATGTCAGTTTCCTCAGTTCAGAGCCTGCCAAATTCTCCTCTTCCTGGCAGCTGTGTCTTTGGTGTCCTAGTGTGATTTGAAACTTGCTCTCATTTGTTGGTTTTCTATTCATTTGGCACATCATCCTTCCTTCTGTAATGAACAAGCAGATCCATTTTAGGTGAAAACAGCTTTGTTTTTTAATAGCAGAACTGTTTCTGGGAATTCATGTTTTATATTCCTTTAATTTTTCTTTTTTAGATGCTGGATGTCTATGACATTCTTCCTTTTGATAATCCAGATGGTGGCGTTTGGAAACAAGGATTTGATATCACTTACAATGAAAATGAATTTGACAATGAACCACTTCAAGTTTTTGTTGTGCCTCACTCACATAATGATCCAGGTAATATGTTAACTGAATTGATTTGAGGATCTAGAGGCTTTTGGATTAGGAAATGCATTGCCATTTCTGTCAAAATTTGAGTTCTTTTTAAGCATACCATTTAATATGTTATATATAAGTCTACCAAAGCAGTGAAACAGATGTATGATTTAAGTGCCATTGACTTCCAATGACAACTGTTATGATATAAGTTGTATGTCTACTGAATTTATTAACTGGAGCAGAGCTTCAGTGTTGAAATTGAAAAGTGATGGATTTCTCCTAACACATTCAGTTTATACATTACTGCATTAAATACCATGAATTCTTATTCTGATTTTTTGGACTATGGCAGATATCTAATCTTTAGCCTATGCTAAAGAAATGCACCTTCTTCACTCTTCACTTTTTTGTGCACACCCCAACCTATAGTGGGATAATGAAAAGTCTACATTCAGAAATATAGGTATACCTACATAATTTCATTTCCACCCAAGTGGGTTTACAGTGTAATAAACAAAATGGAGAAGTGTTCCTTTATTTTGGAAGTGTTCCTTTATCTTTTATTTTATTTCTTTATTCTTGGTAAAATTTACCAAGTAGCAAATTATACTGCTACACTGTGGTCCTGGTACATGTACACTGACCATGGGAGGCTGGTGGCACTGGTTGTTGTCACAGAAAGCCACAATTTAAGTGATATTAAATTTTACTCCTGTATGTCTCTCTAAATTTAGTTGCATGAGTACTGTGGATCTGAGTGAAGGTATGGTAGTTGGAAAATAAGTGGCTTTTATTTGCAAGCATGTAGCATTCTTAAAGAAAATGAATGTTAGAATGTGGAATTACTATATTACTGTCCACTTATGACAGGTAAATTATGGCAGTGTGGATATGATAAAAATATTCTGAGCAAACAATCACAGTATAGACCTAGATCTGCCTATTTATTGAACTGTCTTAGAACCTGTGTCCATTTATTTCCTCTCTGGTTCTCTTAAAGACTTCCCTAGAAAGAAGCAACTCTGTACAGGCACATAATGAATCAAAGCAATACTAAAGCAATATACAGAACTTACCATTCTCTTGGGTCTCCTGGAATGGGGTGTGGAGTTTATCTGTCTCCCTTTTTCTGCTGAAGCTGTTGGGATCTTATCCTAACTGGTACAGGACTGTTGGCACTCCACTAGAGGCCAGTTGCCTGGTGTCACATCTGCCCTCCTGTAATGTCTTTAACTGAATTGAGCAAACACCCTGTGCACAGTGTAGGCTGAGGTAACTTCTCAGGCACATGAGGCTTAGTTGCTGCAGGGGAATGTCCTGAGGGAAGCTGTGAAGAGACTTGCTGATAATTTCACCAGTGTCTGTTCAAGTAATGAGGTACTTTTTCTGCAGATTCTAGTAATTTCAATGTACGTGAAAGATATTTAGCAAGAAATGGCATGAGTAAAGTTATAACTGTATCAGCTGCAGAAGCTTCAAATTCTCATTAGATTTTATCTTTTCTCATCTGAGGCTGCTTCCTCTTTAACTTTTCATATAACCAGGTATGCTAGTGAGAATGTGTAGCACAAAGGCAAAGAAAAAGGACTTGAAACAGCTTTGTCTAGGGGGTGGCATCCCTGCCCATGCTGTAGGGCTGGAGATTGCATGGTCCCTTCCAATCCGTGTCACTCTGTGAATCTGTGAAACACAATCATTAGTGAAGGTGGTGGGTTTAAATTCCACCTTGTTTTTTGGAGGGATGACTGAATGTGCCAGTGCTCTGAAGCACTTTGTGATGCTAAATCTGGGTTAACTGCTTCTGTGTGAATTTAACCACGACCTGCAAACTTGGGGTCTCTGTGCTTCTCTCTGCAGTAGCTATAAGTGTTTCCCTTTTGGGAAATGGGTTGAGAGTGGGTATCCTTCAGACTTTTGATAATGGTGGCATGATTGTTTTAGTTGCTGGCAGTTGATAAAGATTTGAGCACCACAGTAGCATGTCCTAGTCTTAAACCATGGAGAGAAATTTGGTTGTTGTGTGAGATTATAGCTGTCACAGATAGGTGGCAGTTCCATCAGGAGCAGATTGAGTATATAACCTGCTGTGCTGGCACAGCCCTTATGTTGGCTCTCACCTGCTTCAGCTGTGGTGTTTTGTGGCTGGCTGAAGTGGAGGAGGCAGCTGAAATGCAAAGGGGAAACCTCAGATCAGGGCTGGCAAGATTGTCAGCCAGCACAGATGGACTTGAAAGATGAGGTTTGGATATGACCGGAGAGATGGAAAGACACCTCTAATATCTATTGATCTGTAATAATTTTGGTAATGACTAGTCGTTAAATTATTTAAGAATTAAGACTTGTGAGCTTTCTAAAATATGTGTGTACCAGTATCTCACTGCTGAATGTGGTGGTTACAGACCTAGTATAAACAGTACTTAAATGGAATTGGAAGTGACTGAAGTAGATTTTTCTCTTGCATCTCAGCCCACATGGAAGCATATGGGCACAAAAGTCAGAACTAAACACTACTTTTAAACACTCCATCAATTATCTATGACATTGGTAATTTTACCTTACTACCACTCACATTAATCACCTTTTGTTATTTAAGACAGTCTACATTTCTCAGGAGGAAATCTATATAGACCTAAGTCAGTGTTAAGATAGAAGATATCTTAACCATAAAACTTGATGCTGTTACTGCACCATGGAGTTTCCTGTACATTTTCTGTTAGCTGAGTCTGGATATGTTTTTCTGGTGACTTCTTCACCAGAACAGAGATTGCTTAAATAGTTGTCCGACCCACCAAAATACAAGAAATGGGGAACTCACAAGTTTTTCTTGACGTGCTGAATGAGGGAAATTAGAGCTTTATTCCTGGGTTATTTTTCAGTATTTCTGTGTTTACAGAAGAGGTGCAGTTCCTTTGCAAATCAACAAAGCTGTTACAGAAAGAACACTTCTGACTCCTGATCAGTAGAAATTTCCTTTCCATCTTAGCTATGATGGCAGCAGATTTGATATGTACTAAAGCAAAAATAGATCTTGCATAAGACTTGAAATGTAAGAAGTCTAATTATAATTTTGGTAGTACCTCACAGATCAGGGCAGATTTTAATTTTTGTGAAGTGTGCAATCATTCAAATTTTTAGTTATGCTTGTGAAATTAAGGTAAATTAAATCATTCTTGTTTTACCTTAAGCAGAGATCTTTTACAAGTTAAGGTATGCTCTTGGAAAAGTAAATACACTGTCATACTTTTTCTGTGTATTTTCTTATACCTAAGTTATTTTATTTGGTACACATTTTGCAGGAACAAGAAGATCATCTATCTAATTCCTTTTGAATCAGAATGAATGCTCTAACACAGGAGTGTTTCAGGGGACTTTCTTTCTCTGATTTGACTATGTGAAACAGAAAAATGAGAGAGTCTTAAGCAGCTTTTAGTTTTAATTTGAGATTGCCTTACCATCGGGTTTTTTGAGTTTTATTTCACAGTTGTGGCTATGAGTCATTCATCTTCATTGAAAAGATACTTTTTGGTGAAATTAGCACTGAAGTGTTAGAAACATCCATAAAATATTAACTATGCTAGTTCTATATTTTGCATCATAGAATGATGCAGTACTTATAAATTAAAAAAAAAAAATATGTGTGCATTCTCTACCTTAAAATAAGGGATTTTTTAAAATGCTGAATCTGCAAAGGAGCTAATGCCAAATTATTTTCTTGTGTAATCATACTTACTAAGATGTAAGTTAAAACTTAGATTTTGGATTTATTTCTGGTATTTGTCTTATTGTTATTGGCTGAATATGATCAATTAAAAACACATGCATACTATGCTTAAGTTCTTTAGAGCTCTTCTTTTAGAGGTAAGAAGTCATGGCTACTTACCCTTTTGTTTGTGGTTTTGTTTGTTTTATGAAAAACTTTTACTCTTGCATTTTGTGGGGCTTGGATGTAATTAAGAGCAAGGATATCCTCACAGTTTGAAATTTTTTACTTCCTCAGCTGTCAAAACAGTCTTCTGTCTCTTCTCACAGGAAGTAGTTAATTAAGCATCAAGCATAAATGTAAAAAAAACCCATTACTGATAATTTTTACAAACTTGGGTGTACATTTTAAAGACCAAGAACTGAAGTTGCACTAAGATAATTGCAAAGAGAATGCTCTTATTTTCTAGAAAGCTGTATAATGCTAGCTGAAATGTAACAGTTTTATTTAATACATAAGAGAAATAAATTACTCAAGTTTCTTGTGTTGCAAGAAGTGTCACCGATGGCTGAATTTTAGACTCAGTGAAATTAATTATGATCTCCTGAAAAGTGAATCAGAGATGCAAACTTCTATCAAAAACACATTCATCCACTATATATTGGCATAATATTTCAGAAATTCATGAGGTGATCTGCCTCTTCATTAATACAGACTTTGTCAGAAAGAAGATTTTATTTCCTCTTAAACATTCGAGGGTGACTTTTGGAAGTAAGCAATTGAAAAGCTTACTTTTTATTTCATCAGTTATTTTAAACCAAAATACAAAAATACAAATGTAAAAAACCACCCAAGGAGTCTTGCAGGTGTATGCCCGCAGTACCTAAATACTTTTTCTAGAAATGGATTTGTGATCCTTGTCATGATCAAATTGTTATGTGCTTTTGCGTAATAAAGTTACTTTTTGAATAACACTAATTTGTCAGCTTCTGTTCTGATTTTGTCCTGAAAGTTTCCCTTTATCTCTACATCTGTGTCAACCATGTTAAGACACCAGAGTGCCTTCCCCTAGTGCAAGGAGCTGATAGAGCTTCAAGAAAGATTTTGAGCTTGAAAGGGTAGACAGGAATAGTGGCAAATCAGTTAATAAAATGTTTCAGGACTTCGCAGAGCAATGAGTTGTGTTGATATTCAGATGTGATTCTTGGATCTGCTGTCAAGCCAAGTAAATTTACATTACAGGGGGGGGAAAATCAATTAAAGAAACAGCTGCATAAGGGTGATAAATCTCATGGAGGTTGGGGGGAGATAGCAAGTTTCCACACTTGCAAACAAGGACAAGCATGAGAGAATCAAAAGGAAAGCAGCTCAGCAGTGTATATGTACCCTCTGTTGTTATCACATAGGCTGGCAGAAAATGAAAATATCTGGCAAAGTCCTCAATATGTATTAAGTTAAGCCTAGCATAATAATATGAAAGACAGTACAATTTTTTCTCTTGTTTACAGGGTTATTAAACATTGGAATGGTGGAGTCACCATCCCTGGAGGTGTTAAAGGAAAAAGTGCATGTGGCACTGAGTGTCATGATACGATTTATAAGGTGGTGGTTAGTCAGAAGTTGGACTTGATAATTTCAGAGTTCTTTTACAACCTCAATGATTCTGTGATCTTGTGATTTATGCTGACAAAGGGCTTTATTTACATTTAAATCACCAAGCGTTATTTTGCTGTTAATAGCATATTTAGTCTTGATAATTGCAGCTTTAAACTATTGCAATTTTTCCACGTGTAAACTACCTTTGTATTGAAAGTTTCCTGTTCAAAATGGTACACCTTTTCTTTCAGCCTGGGAACAAATTCTTAGTTCATGGATAAGCACAAGAATGAACTTGAGTTGTAGTTTCTTATGTTCTATTAGTGACTGAGGTGTGAAATAATACTCTAGCTAGCAATTATACATTGATTTAACCATTATTTTGTTCAGCTTTTGATTTGTTTTTAAAATTTTTATTGTATGTCTCCATGCATAATTGAAGAGTCTCTGTAAGTCATTTGGTTTAGAGCAGCACACTTCAGGAAGTGTGGCATTCTGTTGGCTTTCAGCTAAATCTATGAATACCCCTAAAAATTTCCTAGGACTCTCTGGAGTGTATTCACTTCAGTGTGTTAACCATGTTACAATCTTCCTTATCTAAATAAACTGAGTATGTTAAAACAATCATTTCATTATAATACTGAACACTTTTTCCCTACATCATACTGTATTCTTTTGTCAGCTATTTTGACATTTAACTCAATGTTTCAGTTAAGCTGGTTTAATAATGTTTTTAAGAATGTTTCAGAAGACTAATGTAAATTTGCTTTTATTGCTGCAATATAAAATATTTTTAAATAGTTCATTATGATGATATATTTCTGTTCAGGAAAATCATAAGATGGCTTTAATTTATCCTCCTTTAGTTGTGTGTTCTGTCTCTTGCAGAAGAAATTTCTGATATGCATCTATAAACTGGTAGTCTAATACAGGTGGATATTTTTAATGTATTTTTCAGTAAAATATTCCTTTGATTTGTTGAAAAGTAAATGAGAATTGAGAAAGAATAATTTGCTATGTGATCTCAATTTTTTAAGTGGAAGTGCCTATTAAAAAAAAAAAACAACCCAGACTGAAGTGGGAAGAGGTCAGAAAGAAATTTGATTTCAAATTCAGATTATTCATCACATTTTTTTCATCCTTTAAACTGTTGCATAGCAGTAATTTACTGTCAACAGTTTTTTCGTATGAAGCTATTTCCATTCCTCTAAAGAAAGTATGTTTTAATTTTATGCTTTAAGTCCTCATATTAACTACCTTGACAAAATGCATTTTTGCCTTTTAAGACAGATTAGACCCCAATTGTCTATCTCTACAGAAACTTATATCAAAAGTGATGGTCCTCTAGATGCAAAATATCTGTAAAAGAAAAAAAGAATGACCTAGAACTTTTCCTCTGGAGTGTTAGTTTTATTTCTTCTTTTGTGAATTAAAAACAGTATCTCTGCATCTAAGAAGAATGTTTGGGTTTTTGTATCCCTAAAAGAAAGTATGATATATCCTTTGAGTCAATAGTCAGAATATATATAATGATATATAATTATAATTTAATTATAAATTATTTTTAAACTAAATTTGAGAATTATTTTTTAGCAATAAAAGTTTTTACATTTATGTAAATTCCTTGAAACAATAAAATGTCATTGCATAACAGCCTAATCCTGTATCCTGTAAGCAGACCGGCACTGTTAGAAAGGCAGCGGTTCTGCAGAGCTGAATTGGTAAATCAGAGTGGAATTACTAGTGTCATATTTATCTGGAGTGCTGTCTTCACATAGTGTGGAAGCTTTCACAGAATTTTAAAATGGGCATACTTGACAAAAGCTGGTAGGAGTAGGAAGGTGACACTATAGAGTAAGTAGACAGACCTAATTTTTTCAGATATAGTTACAGGTTCTGTGAAGAAAGATGCATATGCTCTCTAATGCAAGGTATAATGAAGAGTTAAAAGACATTATGTAAGACTGTAAAGTCTGAAAATGTTAAAAATTTTTTCCTTTGCATCTCACTGAAGCACAATTGTTTGAGTCTACGTATTCTGTTAATCAAATTTTCTACTATGTAAAGCATAGAAAAACTAGAAAGTATTAAGTCTAATAATTTCCATATGTTTATACATTTAGGAAATAAAACATGTAATCTTTTGTAAAAAGAAACTCCTTGGAAATTTAGCACTTCAAGGTGTCCATGACACAGAAAGCTTTTTAAGAACACTCTACTTAGCTTTTTCTGAGGAGTGAGAAGGAGCCAATTCTGTCAGGGGCTGTTCTCTAAAGAGGCTCAGAAGCCACTTCTCTAAAGAAGCTTCATTTATATTTTCTTTTTCCTAGGTTGGCTGAAGACTTTTGATGATTACTTCAGAGATCAGACACAGCATATTTTAAATAACATGGTTATAAAATTGCAAGAAGACAACCGAAGGAAATTTATATGGTCTGAGATTTCCTACTTTTCAAAATGGTGGGATGGAATAGATAGCCAAAAAAAAGATGCTGTTAAAAGGTTTGAGTACTGAACTTTTATTCTGTGTATCTTGTTTTGAGATTTTGTGTATTTGATTATACTGTAAACTTGAGATTTCACTTGTGATGTGGAATTGCTAGAATAATGGATTAACTGCTTCAGTTCCAAGTTTTTGGGATTGGTTTGGTTTTCTCCCAGTTGCAAAATAGGAATCTACTCAAGGAGGTGGAGACAAATTACTGAGTCAAATTACAGAGTTGCCTAAAAAATTGACAAAAGTTCCCGTGCACAACCATGAACGTGCCATTAAAATTGTAAAGGAGTAGCAATTATAATCTTTATTTGAAATCACACTAAGGAATTAGCAATAAAATAAATACGTCTTTCACACTAGCTATTGAATACGGTATTTTTTCCTTGTTGCAATGATATGCGATTTTTGTTTGAATAAAAATTTGTGAGTTTCTTTTGTGTTTAAGTACAAAGGGTTTTTATAAACATGCAGCTCCTTTAAGGATAAGGGTAAGTATGTACTACTCTACATCCTTGCTCTTCTTAGTAATTTTTAAAATCACAAGTCTAAATGGAATATAGAAGTAAGAGGTTTGCCTAGGCATTGAGACAAGGAAGCAGGCTGCTTGGATAAGCTTGCAGTATAGATCTAGTTTGGAGTTTTTATAAAGTGGGGACTTATTTTCTTATTTTTACTTGGCTTTTTTTTTTTTTTTTTTTTTTTTTTTTTTTTTTTTTTTTTTTTTTTTTTTTTTTTTTTTTTTTTTTTTTTTTTTTTTNGTTCTTAGCCCATCCTTGTGATAGCCGCCTTCTCATGCCCCTCTTTGAGATGCCTGTGTTGCAGTATGCATTAAATCTGTGAGACCTTCACAGACTCAAAGGTTAGGTAAAAGTGGGAATTTTGGGATCTAGGTAAAAAAGCTACTTATTAAAAATAATTATCTGCAGTGAGTGACTATTATAGCACAGCTGTGTAGTTTTTTGACATTAAAAATATCTCTTGGAACACAATAAACAATAAATGACAGTCACTAGGGAGCTGTGTCCTCTCTTCAGAGGAGTCAGGTATTGGTTAAGCTGCACTTGAGATTGAAGAAGACCTAGTGAAGCTGCCCTTGATACTATTTTTGTTGCATGATTTTCATTGCTCCTATTGGTATCATCTGTGATGGGACTAAGTTTTGATGAATTCACTGTGGGTTTTTTCTTGAATTCATTAAACACTTCCACTCTGGGGAACAATGTAAGTGCTGACACTGTGGGAACAACCTGGTGCTGGGAGTGTGATCTTTATGTACACTGACAATAGAGAGGATGGGTTATCCTGTGACCTGTTTCAATAAGGCATTTTGATGAGTGAGATGTTCTGAAATGTTTATAAATACAATAAACTTCCAATCTATCAGCTCTCTAAAACTCTAAAAAGAATATGAGATCAAAGATGGGGAGATATTTCAAGCAGTGCTTGAAGTGTGCAGTGTCTAAGCATCTTGCTCAGTTGGCCTTCAGTGCTGTGGTACATTTATTTTTTTTAAGTCTGTGCAGGAAACAGCTTTCTTCCCAATTAAAAAAAAAAAAAATCTAATGTAGCACATGCAGTAGAACTTTGCACAAAGACATGAAATACTTCACTGTTCAACAGTTCATTTTTCCCCTGTTTGATTAAAGAAATATAGCCCAGTGATGAAAGTAGCAAAAACAATTTAGATTTTAGAATAACATTGCTGGTGATTGCAATGGTAAACTGAAATTGATTTTAAAAGTGTTTTCATATAGAAGATTCTAAATATGATTTATATATTTTTCAGGTTAATAAAAGATGGACAATTTGAAATAGTAACAGGAGGATGGGTCATGCCTGATGAAGCATCTTCTCATTATTTTGCTTTAATTGACCAGCTGATAGAAGGACACCAGTGGCTAGAAAAGAACCTTGGTATGTACATGAATCTAAAATTTAACTATGTAAAGACAAGAAGTCAGTAGGAAAATACTTTTTTGTTACATTTCTGAGGTGCTTAGGAGACTTTTTACTCAGCTTTCCTGAAACATTAAATCAGACCACTTACAGGAAGCTGGATCAAGTCTAGTATTTGCCATTCATGTTTGCAGATAAAAGTTCCTGTACAAAGTATATTTGAACAATTTTCTGCCATAGCATTTTGTCTTGATCAGTATAAGACATGCATATAATGGCTTAACCAAACATTAACACTAGTGCTGAATTTTAGATCCCGTGTCTAAACAGTCTTTAATTGCCTTTTCTGTCTTTTGAATATCATGACAAAATTCTTAAAGCTACTTAAAAACTGATACTGCTTTTATGTATTTGGATCTGTTCTGCCTGCTCTGTGTTCATTAGAGTCTCTTCTGTAAGGATTTCAGAACAAAAAAATTGTATGTAGCAGCAGCAGTAGTAGTAGTTTAAAAACCCAAACCCTTAGTAATGTTAGAATTGAGGAATTCTTGACTGCAGTTACATTGACTGAACTGTTTTTCTGCCTTTGGGATGTTCTTTTGTTTAGTTCTATAAGAGGAGAGAAACCTTTTTATATAGAAAATATTTGTGCAGTGATTTTAATAATAAATTGACATTATTTCACCCAGTTAACTGAAATTATTTTGGAAAGCTGTTTCCCCATTGTTCTTAGATTGCAATTTCCACAAACACATTACCTAACAAAAGGGTAATGCATTCCTTACTGTACTTTTTTGGAAAGACTGTAAAAAGTGCCCAAGGAGCCATGCTGATGAATTAATAAGAGTTAGATGTAGCTTCTTTAGTTACTAGTATAAAGTTCAGTGAAAAGAGTATTAATAAACATGATTCTCTTTATCAACAAACTAATAAATTAAGGAAAAAAGTTCTGAAGCCAACAAAGATTAACATTATTTAAATAACAGTGAAATTTCAACAAGCTATTGCATTTATCTATCCACATTAATTTTCTTTCAAATTTCTTTTTTAATTATGATATCTGTAAATGACTTTAAGTGAGAGGATGTGTATCATGTAATGATTCCAAATTAAGATGTTTGATGCAAATTTAAAACAGCATAGTGACAAGTACTATTTTAAAGTTTTAAATTTTTTTTAGAATACTTTATTTATAAGACATTTTGCTTGTTTGTTTAACTCCTTAATTCTAGTTTTTTAATTCCAGGGTTCTGCAGGAGATTTAACACTTAACTGGGTATATCATCTTGGAAATGTTATCTTTAGTACTCTCATTTGAATTATTGGAATAACTTTCTTGAGTGAAAAGTAAAGCATTTTACTTTTGTCAACAGGAGTAAAACCAAAGTCTGGATGGGCAATTGATCCATTTGGGCATTCACCAACAATGGCCTACCTTCTGAAGCGCACAGGATTTTCCAGAATGCTTATTCAGAGAGTTCATTATTCAGTTAAAAAACATTTTGCAACACAAAAGACACTAGAATTTTTTTGGAGACAGAACTGGGGTATGTGTTCTTTCTTCTATGTCAATTTATTTTGTTAATTTACAATTTAATTTAGGTAAAATATGAAGAGAACTTGAATAAGTACTGTTGAAATACTTACAAGAACTAGCAGAGTTTGTATAGACCTGAAAATTTTAAACTTGCAATTCTGTTAAACAAAAGCCTTTAATCTACCTTAAATTTATGAGATTTTTTTTCCTTCCCGCCCCCGCCCCGTTTCAATAATAGAAGGGGAAATGAGAATATTTGTGAGTTAGGAAAGGCACTAAATGTAAAACTGATATAATTGCCATTGTTCCTCTGTTCCTCTGATCTTCCTTTGTTTTCACTTTTATTTCTTTTATTTTTGCTTTTACCTTCTCTTGTTTTTTTTCCATTCTCTCATATTCCTTGCAAAAGTAAAAGGGGTGAAAAAATCTTTACTTGTTTTTACTTTTCTTGTTCCGCCTACTCCTTTACTTCCTCCTATGTGGAAATAAAGTGTAGGAGGAGGAACATTTCAACTAATTCAAATATTGTGCTAATGAGGCCATGACAGGAGGGTGATTGACTTTTGTTTTTTTTCTTTGTTTTGTTTTGATATTTGGTTTTTTTTTAAGTTGTTTTAATCCACTCAAAGTTTAAAAGATGTTTATTATTATTGTGTTTTATTACTTCTAAAATTCTGAAAATCACAAGTTTTATCTGAGAAAAACACACCTAATATTTGTTCCTATCGTTCCAAATCAGTTGGTACTTCATTAGAACATTACAATTTTGGTTGTAACTTTGTTTTATCCTCTTTATACATGTCAGGTACATACAAAAATAGACTCAAGCTATGGATATTCAAAATAAGAAATTGTCTTGGTGTGGTATCTTTCCAGTACAATCCTTGGACTGAGAACAAAGGAGTGATTTACTTCTGGCAAATCTGAAAGGGTTTCTTTTAAAGTTTTACTCTATTTAATTCCAGATTTGGGATCCAGTACAGATATTCTTTGTCATATGATGCCTTTCTATAGCTATGACGTTCCTCATACTTGTGGCCCGGATCCAAAAATCTGCTGCCAGTTTGATTTCAAACGACTTCCTGGAGGAAGAATAAGTTGCCCTTGGAGAGTCCCACCAGAAGCCATTCACGCTGGGAATGTTCAACACAGGTACAGTTTTTACATACTCCTCTAGGGAATAACCTTAAAAAAATGTAATTTTGCTGGCCAAAGATGACATCTGGCATAGGTTGGTGAATTTAATTCTGTTGTGGTTCAACCCCATTGAGCAGATCAGCTCCACTAAGCTCACTGCTGCCCTGGTGGGATAAGGAAGAGAATCAGAAGAGTAAAATGAGAAAACTCATGGGTTGAGATGCAGGAGAGGCCTTGGCTCTGTGCGAGCCCTGCTCAGAAATAACAAAATCATCTCTCTGTTGTCAACCCTGTCATCAGAGCAAATCCAGATCAAACCCCATACTGGCTGCTGTGACTCTACCCCAGCTAAAACCAGGTCAAGTTTTTAAAATAAGCTTCTTGTGGGTAAACAATACCTATTACATAACCTAGTGTTTGCTCCTTAGTTGGGAACATAACTCTTAGTAAGGAAGGGGCGTTTTTGAAAATTTTCTGTTCATGATACATGAGTCCATCTCTGAACAACAGTAAGAACACAGTCATCTGGTTGGACTCATGTTACTGGTTTACTGTGTTTTTTGTGAAGTTTGTGGACAGTGATCTGTCTCCTGAAAACAGAAAACTTCAGGAGCAGAGCAATGTAGTGTGCTGTAACTACAAACAGTGGAATATTTCCTGTGGTATATCCTTGAAAAAATTGGCATCCTGTGGCCTAAGTTTCCTGAAATGTAAACAGTAAGTTAATCTGATTCCTGTTTCTTTGTACCCAAAGTGAAAATTCCTGTTTCTTTGTGCCCAGGGTGGAAATTACTATTAACCTCCGTTTTACTTTTCAAACAGAAACATTGAGTAGTTTTGCCACTGTTAATAATCAAATTTACACTTCTACAAAACTGCTTCTCAGTTTTGGGGGGTGGAGGTAGGGAGTTGGGGAGGGAGAGTAAAGGAAGAAAAAAAAAAAAGAAAAGGAAGTGAGTTAAATTGCCAAAGGTGTTTCCAGAAAATAGTTTTATTCTGTGGTCCTGTTGCTGTCTTCAGGCTTCACACTACACCAGGATTCCAGAGTTAAAAGCTGAGGCAGCTGTTTATTATTTGTGCAAATTGCAGAATGTAACAAATATATTAAGGATAGCAGGGTGACTTTTTGGTCCTTTATGCTGAAGTTTTAAAGTGATAATGTGATTATGGTGCACTGCTTGTCTACATGTCAAGTGTGGGTCACTTTTTTCCTGAGTATAAATTCTGACAAACATAATGAAAACTTCACTTAAACAAAATTCAGTTACAAAATATTACTGAAGATTAAACCAAAAATAAACAGCATGCGTTATAACTGCTGCATTTAAAGGTAGCAATTGGAATGATGATAAGAAAAAGGGGGTTTTAACAAAGTAGAGAAAAGAAAGATGATGGTGGCATGAGAAAAGTAGAGAAATTATGGTAAACCCAGTGCCAATTGCACGTGAAGGAAAATTCATATGTCATTAAATCAAAGTTGTAAAAAAGAAAAATCTTGACTATATATCTCAATTAGCTGAGACAAATATTTGCAAAAACTCAACAGCTTGTATAACAAATACATGGAACATAGAGGCTGTAAATATAGTCTGCTTGAAATCGTCTTTTTAAGGGTCTTGTTTTTTAATTATTCTTAATCCCTGCACTTCCTAGATGCAATCTTTGCATAACAATCTAAATTGGATCTTGTAAAAGAAATGGTTTTTCACATGTCAAAGGATACTTAAGAATGTGATAAATGGAGCAGGGATGTAGTGAACATATGATCAAGTTGAAGTGATTATTGTCTCAATATGGTCTCTGAAACTTATTATTTTGCATCATCTTGTTTTAGTTAAAAGCAGTTTTGATGTCTTAACAGGGAGGTGAAACATCAGTATGCTGTATGACACCTATGGGAAAAGTAAAACTGGCACAAATAATCCAGGAAGCCTGGATTATTTACTTTTGGAACACTCGAATCACACTTTTAATCACACTTTTAATCACACTTTTAGCCTAGTTTCAAATAAATCCATTCAAACACAGGAAGTAATGTTTTGATGGAGAATGTTAAAACACGCTCTGTCTGTTGTTTTGAAAAAGCTGGAATACTGTAGACAAAAATGTTATTGATCTGACCTCTGTAATAACATGTTTCACAGTTGTTATGATGAGGAGATTTATGACTTCCAGAATTGAAGAGTCTATCTTTACATCATAAGTTTTCCAAGATTATAGGTTTGCAGCACTCTAATTAATCTGCCTCTTATCTCTGATTGCTTTAAGACTAGAAAAATAAAGGAAATTCAAGGATTGAAAAAAGTTGATTAATTTAGACACCAGGTAGCTCACTGACCTTCTTTCATGCCAAAGCTAAAACAAAAGTAATAAAACTCAGATCCTGAATACTCAACTGGGACTGTTGCGTTTGATTTCAATATTATTTTGGCCTCACTTATATATTAAAGAGATACTGAGTTGAAAACTTTGGGCTAGTAGTTGGATTTTTTTATTGCCTTGTCACTTAAGTTGTGACCTGGTAAGAAGGAATGAAGCAGCAACCTAATTGAAAACGTGTACTTGTTTAATTACACTTCATAACAGCTTAGGTTATAAAGACTACTATTGGACTTGTCCTGATTTGCAGCTGCATTCTTATCCATATGTCTGAATGCTGAAGTGTGAAGTTTTTCACACTAGGAAAAAAAGCAGCTGTTGGTTGTTGTAGTTTTTGTTTGTTTGGTGTTTTATTTTTTTTTTTTAATTTATTTTCTTTGTTGGTTTTTTCCCTTGAATGGAAGTGAGTTGTTAGCAGAAGTACATTTTGTTTCTCTCATTCCAAGCATGAAATAAGAGAGAATCTTTGCTGCAAGTTATGTACTTCAGAGAAGAAGTAGAGAATGGACTTTCCTCTTCACGAGCTACTGTTCAAAAGACCAGTTTTGTCCTTTAGTTTTTTTATCTTTATGGTCACATTTTATGGTTCATGCTTGTGATTGCCTAACTCCTCTTTCTTTGACATAGGAAGGGTCAAAACCAGCCATATTTTGGTATTTATTTACTGAAATACTTGGTTTTTTGCATTAAAACAAGTTGTGGTATGAAAAGATTTTCTTTATTTGTGAAAGGTCTCAAGCATTCAGTAATAATCTGAAAGCCTGAAAACAAAACAGTCTATCATGGCTTGTCTCCTTTGTGATTTTCAGATTTTCACTCAGGTAGGTAGGATAAATGTATCAAAATGTACCTAGTTCTGTTTAACTGGGGAACAATAAAGGGGAAAAAAATGATGGACACAATGGAATCTTTTTTTTCTCCAGAGGTACTTTTTTGTCTTCACGTGCTCTGTCTGGAACTTTCTGCTGGCACTTTCACACTCCTGTATGAATTAATGATATAGGAAATAATTTGAGAGAAACTTAGAAGGATATACCTGAATTGATGTCCTTCAGTTTTTTACGATTAAAAGTGGTTTGCAACGCAGGAAAATCTTGCTGTTCTCTTAAAAGCACATAATAATCCCACAGTTATCAGTACTTTAAGACAGGGAGAGCAGCAATACTGATGAATTTTGCTGGATATTTGGAAAGAAACCAGAGGAGGACTTCTAAGAGAGATGCTGAAGTCAAATATTCTGTTAACTGTAACCTGTATTTTTCAAGAGATTCAACACTAAAGTATGTTTCCAAGCATAGCCTATATGTGGAAAATTTGAGTTAGACTGGCTCTTTAGAAGGAAGCATTGCCAAGTCTTGGGTTCTGCCAGTTGTTCTGGTAGATGTGTGGTGAGGAAACATCTGTGTTTAAATCTTAAAACCTGTTGAAAGTAATGGAAAATACTGATTGGCAATCTGAACTATGAATCCACTAATAGACAGGAGATGGGTGGAAGACACCAGCTGGGTAAATTCTAGTCTCATTAGAACTCTGCAGATCCTTAACTAAAGGTAATATTGTGGCCCCTTTTTCCGTCCAGGATAGAGTCAGACCTTGTGTTTATGCAGTACTTCTGCAATCAGATATATAAATAAGTTCTGGCATGCTGCTCAAGGAAAGAGAGGTTGCAATATATTGGGCTAGAAATTCTGCATTATGTTTAAATAGTAATTCTTCAAGAGTGTCAGTTGACAGGTGATTTTGCTAGATCATCTATTAAAAAGACATGAAGAAAAAAAAAGAAACCCATTAGAATCTGAGTTTTCTGGTATTTTGTCTTAAAGCCTTGGGATTAGTATTTCTGTTTTCTTAAATATTTTACTATGGTTTGTATTTCCTATGAGAATTATTTACAGAATTTTAATTAGAGGGTATTAGAATCTGAAAATACTGATAATAATTGTGACCTGGAGGGGAAGGGTTGAAAATGGACTTTTTCAGTAACCTAGATACCAGGCTTGTGATTATTAATATATTGCTGCTGTGGAACTGGTAGTTTACTCATCCTAGAATTAGTAGGTAGGTGCCAAAGTATAATTCTGCAGTTTTTTTTTCTGTGTGTATGTGTGAGTATTTTGTTTCTGAGTTGTTAGGGTTTCTTTTTTTGTTTTAAGTCCAAAAGGATAAAAGCAGTGGGTTTAATTCTTCAGGATTCAAAGATTCAAGAGGGATGGCTCTAAGATATGTAAGAATCTGGCTGAAGGGAGAACAGTGATTTTTAGCAGCAAGCTTCCTCATGCATTCTGTGGTGGTGTTTTTTTTTATTTTTTTATTTTATTTTATTTTATTTTATTTGCAAGTCTGGAGTTCTTCAGGGATTAATCTGTGGGCAGTTTTTCTGCCAAGGACGTGAAGATATAAGCTAAGTATCAAAGGAAAGTGCCAGAGGGGATGGAAGGAGCTTGCTTATTATTATAAATAAGGGCTGGAGAGGATTAGGATTGTTATCTAAATATAAAGCAGGTAAACATAATTTGAACTGGAGGTTAGTTTTGGCACAGGCACAAATTGATCCAGACTGCCCTACTGCTTGAGATGAACCTTGATAAGCTTATTGAAGGATTTAATTAGAGTGGTGTTTGCAACAATAGTAGGTTGAATGTGGTGTCCCAGTGGGGGAAATTGCATCCAGCTTTTTGTTACAAAGTGAGATAACAGTTTTGTATGTCTTGTTTAGGGCCATCCTGATGCACGACTTGGTATCTAAGAATTGTCTCACCAAATGCTGGCCTTTTTCCCCTCTGTCTTCTGAATGGCTCTTATTTTTTCCTCTCTTCAAGGGCTTGGATTATATTGGATCAATACAGGAAGAAGTCAAAGCTCTTCCGTACAAAAGTCCTGTTGGCTCCACTTGGGGATGATTTCCGCTACACTGAGAGCTCTGAATGGGATCAGCAGTACCAGAATTACCAGAAGCTGTTTGATTATATGAATTCTCGCCCTGAATGGCATGTTAAGGTAACTACAACACATTTTCTGTTTTGTGGGGAAAACAGTATTTCCTGATATTCTAAGATTCTTCATGGGGAAAATAATTGTAGTTTGGTTTGGGTTTTTTCCAAATGTGTATCTTTATATATTATGTAACAGTAGATTGATGTGTCTTGGTAGCTTACATTTTTTTTAACTTTACTAGCTTCTCTCCCTGAAAAACAAAAACTCTGCTGTTAATAATATTGGCTTGAAAACTGTAGTTTTCAAACTAGATTAATTTGGAGAACAGCTAGTAGGTTTAATTGTTTTCTTAGCCTGTTTTCACAGGCTTCAGGCATTGTTATTTAAGACTCATAGACTTTGTTAAGTCAAATAATTGTATTTTCTTATTAGAAGTTCAAGAAGATTTTGCTGCTTAAACCAAAATATCTTAAGAGATGCCATTGCTGGTACATGTTGAATTCAACAAAATATGAGACTGACATGGCTACAAAATGACTGAGTATTTTAACACAATTATCAGAGAAGGTACTACTTCAAATCAACAATTATGTGTGAGAATTAAAACACAGATTCATATGTTTTAATGTGCACTTCTTGTAGTACAAGGCCCTAGGGACTTCTTGTACTATAGAAGTTCTCTATATTCTGACAACTTTTCAGCATCTTTCAGCAAGACAGTAACAAATGGGGGCCACAACCTTGGGTTTTTTGAGTGTCACCTGGGAGTGCACTTTTGCTTGATTTCACATTAAGGCTTTTTTTTTTTAAGCCTTGGTCTGGTATCTTTCATATGGGTTTTGTGTGCATCTATTTTTCCTTATCTTTTCTGAGACTTCCCCTGATTCTTCCAACTGTGCATTTTGAGTAGAGTCTGTAGTATGTTATTACTTTCTGCTGACTTCTGGACTTGTATTCTGCATAAGAAAGATGATTTCTTGGGATTATAGCTTATCTGAAAACTGGATTTTACATGTTTCCTATGGGATGTGGGTGACATGATGTATGCTGAAGGAGCACTATATCTTAGTGGATGGAGACAGACCAGGAGAGTACTCTTCACATTTTTTAAAACTAAAGCCCATCTTTTAAAACTTAAGCTTGCTGGAGCTTGCTGCCATCACTGGCTTTACTTCTGTCAAAAATGTATGCTACTCTTTGGACACTAGCAGCAACATATTTTCTGTAGTTTTTACTAATTTGGGCTGGATGATTTTGTCTCTGGGACAAAAACTGAAGGCTCTATCTCTGAAGTCATTCTTCAAGAAGCTGTGCTGTTCTTAGACCTCTGAAAGGTTCTGCTCAGCCCACTCAAGGATTCTAGCAGTCTACTTCATTGGGCTGGGTCTGCCCATCTGAAATCACATTAACCCTTGGCTCCTGCATGGCAATATCTGACCCCTTTTCTGGTTTTTAATACCCAGACAAAAAGATTAAAAATCCTCTGGGTCTGCCACTGCATACCTAGGGTATTTTGATCAGCTGGAACACTGCATCAGAGCATTTCTCCTTTCCATTTTGTTCAGATACTTAGGTTTTCCTCTCTCTGTTTTCGGTTTTTTTTTTTTTTTTTTTTTTTTTTTTTTTTTTCTTTTTTTTTTTTTTTTTTTTTTTTTTTTTTTTTGGTTTTTTTTTTTTTTTTTTTTTTTTTTGAAACTGATGTAATTTATTCTTGAAAATATGAGCTTAAACGGAGACACATTTTCTTTCTTTCACACTCTTCTGCACTTTCCCTAGTGGAATGNTTTTTTTTTTTTTTTTTTTTTTGTGTTTTTGTGGTTTCATTTGATTTTTTTATTTTGTTTGAAACTGATGTAATTTATTCTTGAAAATATGAGCTTAAACGGAGACACATTTTCTTTCTTTCACACTCTTCTGCACTTTCCCTAGTGGAATGTAACTCCACAGGCAAGTAACAAGGCATGCTCAGCTATGTAAGAATCTAGATTATATAAAGGAAGAGTTCACATTTCTTCCAAAGTGTTGAGATGCCTAGGATTTTACTGCTTACACAAGGGAGTGTCTGCTCTGCCTTTCTGATCTAAAGGGAGATTTACTCTTGCAGACAGCTCTTAGTGATGTTTATCTAGTGGATATGTCTGTTAGGATTGAGACTCTCCTGCCAGCTACTATTCTGTTCTAAACGTGTGTGGTACATCACTGTAAAACATACCTATTTTGCTCTTGAGGAATTCCATTTCCCATTCATAGATTTCCTTTGCATCTATTATACATAAATTAAGCTGAGTCTTCTAGTATGCCAAAAAATCTACCAGTTTATTCCTCTGCTTCCATTCACCTGACTTTATGCTTCCTCTGGTAAGGTTTTACTCCTCTGATTCAATGCAGAAGTGAGATCATCTCTGCATATTCTCTTGGTGCATGGGCTTTGTTTTTTGTTTTCTACCTGTGAGTACCTATGATAGTGAGGGAGAAGACCAAGTATTCTAGAAGAAGTGCCTGATAAGGCAGTTTACTAATGGTGGGATTTCAGGGGCAATATTTATCTTTCTCTGCTGTACTGCCATTTAAAGTGGCAAGTTACTATATTGTCTCCACCTAACAAATACTTGGATGATCTGAATGACTTTGAAGTGAAAGTGTTTGGGGTTTTTTAAATTATTAAAAAGTGTGAATTTGATGTTACAGTGGTAGTCTGATAATCCTTATATTCCAAGTCACTTTTAAAAATGATTTTTACTAAAACTTGGTTTTGATGTAAATTATAGAACACTACATTGTATACTTGTTAAACATAAAAATAATAGAAAACAAAGTTACTTGTTACTACCATTATAGTTTATGGTGAAGATATTTTGAGTAACATAATGTGGTCTTCTATCCTGTTGCAGTTCCCATTAATTTTTTTTTAAACTTTCATTTAAAATCCATTTTGCTATCTATACTTCTTTAACAACATTTCTCAATCCTAACAATATGGACATCAATAATTTATTTTCTGCTTTTTATTCCCCTGAATTAAGAATACTGGTTTTTGACCTACCCTGTTAGGATCTGCTATTACCATGTCTGAGCCTTTTAAAAAATGACCAGAAGGTAATTAGTTAATTTTTTTTCTCCCACATGTTACATCTCTAAATGCAATTTCTTTTTACAGAGTTTAAGGAAATGCTGATTTTTATTTTTTTTTATTTTTTCTGATCAACAGTCATCTTTTAGGTTAAGCAAGATCTGGAACAAAAAAGAGCTAATTTTGAAAACACAGAATTAGGAGAAGTATGTTTTTGTTGCATTACAAAAATTTCTTCCTTAGCCCAGATGGCTACTTGTGTAATATTGAGATGTTACTTAGCTCGTTTATTACTGACGTACTTCTAAGATAAGAAATGCTTCACTTGTTTGTTGACATTTAGCTATTATATTTTAGATATCTATTTAAATAATAATAATAAAAAATCATATTTTGTGAGTTGTAGAATGGTTTTGTTTGGAGGGGACCTTTAAAACTGTCTCGTCCAACTGCCCTGTAATGAGCAGAGACATCTTCAAAGATTGCCCCAGAATCCCATCCAATCCTGCCTTGAATGTTTCCAGAGATAGATCATCCACAACCTCTGTGGGCACCTTGGGTGTATCGCCTCCCTTGTGTTAAAAATTGTCTTTATATCTAGTCTGAATCTATCCTCTTTAAGTTTAAAACCTCTTTGTTTTAGCACAAGAGGTCCAACTAAAAGCCTGTCCCGATCTTTCTTGCAAGACCTCTGTCTGTACAGAAAGAATGCAGCAAGGTCTCCCCAGAGCCTTCTCCTCTCCAGGCTGAACAGCCACACTCCTCTCAGCCTTTCCTCATAGGGAAGGTGTTTCTCTGATGACTCTTCTCTGGACATGCTCCAGCAGATCCATCTTTTTCTTGTACTGAATTGATATGCCTTTTTTGAAAATACTTGTATTGAGTTTTGAAATGCTATCCAGTTTGTCTGAAAAGTGTGCAGGGGAACTTTAAAAAATTTTGGATAGGTTTGCTGCTATAAATCTGCTGGAAGAGCGATGAGTTTCTGAAATATATATGGAACCAAACATATTCATTGTCTTTGTATTTTCTGCATAATGAAAATGGAAGTTTGTTACAGTAATTTTAATTTTCATTCAGGCCCAGTTTGGAACTTTATCTGATTACTTTGAAGCTCTGCTTAAAGAAAGCAATTTGGGTGAAAAGAGCAGCAATTCACTTTTTCCTGTTTTAAGTGGAGACTTCTTCACCTATGCAGACAGAGATCATCATTACTGGAGTGGGTACTTTACATCACGACCCTTTTATAAACGCCTGGACAGAGTCTTGGAATCCTACATAAGGTAAATCCTGCCATCCAGTACTTACATAATGTGTTTCTTGGCACACAGGAGAAAGTGTGTAAGTATTTGTCATGTTTTAACCTCAGCAGGCCCTTTCTCACTCCCCCACCAGCAGGATCTTGAGGAAAATTGGAAGTGTCAAAGCTACAAAAGTCATGAATTGAGACAAAGGCAGTTTGATAGGGAAAGCAAAAGCCACATATGTGAAAAAAAAAAAGTAAGGAATTATGGCTGTATTGTGAACTTTTTTAGAGAGAAGTAAAAATATTCTCAGAGGAAGCTGAGAAATAGCCAGGAATATTGGGTACCAAGAGATCTAAGACTGCTGTTCTTCTGGAAATTGTCTGCATCTTCTTTAAAGAAAAAAATTGTTGCTGAATTTTGGTAATGTAGTATTTAAGTGGTTCTCCCTTGTAGCAGACACAAGATGATTTAACTGTGTTATAGAGCTCCAGAAGGAAATATAGGGCAGATGGATAATGTGTAAATCCTGAACATTTCAGGTATAGTCTTCCTGAAGGATTACATGCAATTCTTTCCTGTAATGGGTGCTGCAGTAGTGGGACTGGCAAGAGAGATGCGGAAAGTGGCATTTCCAAGCAAGCTTGGAAACTAGTGTTTTGGAGTCAGATACGAGTACCAGTCAGAAGAGAAACTGTATCTAGCAGAACTTGCTTTATTTCTTTCAAGGAATCCAGTTTTCACTGTGGTAAAGTGGATGATTCATCGCAGGAATCTTTAATTTTTAGTGAAAGTAACGTTGTTTAATACTGCTGGAGAAGTCAAGATGCACAAGAGAACAGGAAAAGGACAGATAATATTCTTATAAATTGAATTATCTAGTTAATTTTTTGGTGGTTTTTTTTCAGTTTTGATTAATTTCCTTTCTGTTTTTTAAAGTGCATCAAGGATTTAATTTCCTTCAACTTCATCATAGTTTATTTTTTCAAGATTTTTAGGTGCGGTTATTTAATTGTTATTTTTCTGGAATTTGTTTGTAGTATTTAAAACTTTACATTATTAAAGAGATTCCTTAATTTAAAAGTTTCAGTTGCCTTCAACTTCTGAAAAAGATAAAGGTAAAGAATCTCTGGAGAAACACTAATCTGTTCATGGTCTTATGTATTAAAGTATAGTTTAAAAAAGTACCTGGGAAGTTTTTAGTTTTTCATTATCCTCTGTAAATAACATGTAAGGAAAAAACGTATAGATATGCTCTCATCATTTTAATATCATATTTTTTGTCAGTTTTGTTTTCAGAAACCATGAGAATCTTTGTGAAGGTCATATTAGCTATGAGAACAGCAAGAGTAGAGATTTATCTTTTATTTTTTATTTCTTTAAAATCAAAGGAAATACAGTAGGATCATATTTAATTCTAAAACTCATGATAATTATTTCCATAGTATGTTTGAGCTAACATCCATCCATCTATCTATCTGTATATACATATTTGTTGAGAGAAGGAGCCATGAACAGAAGGTAAATATGTGTGTGTATGTTCTTTACCAAGGATGAATGATTTTAACTTCCAGCAGTACTAGAATTAAGCAGCACTTCAGTGTTAAATAATAGCCAGGAGATAGTGTTAAGCCTCAGAACCCAAATATGAAAACTAACCATTTCAGCAAGAAAAGAGTTGGGTGTTTAAGGTTTTTCCTGTTTCAAAAGAGGTTGAAGGGTTGTGTAGTGAAGTGTAAGAAAGCGAAAGGATTTTATAATGGAGATTGACAGTGATTTGAGTCGTTATTGACATTTTTAATCTTAAGATGTATGAATGAATCAAAGTAGTTTAAAGGGTGATAAAATATGTGACCAGAAATTTATTTAATGTAATGAAAAGATACAAAGAACAGCAGCATAGTTTAAGACAAGTCTGGGACACAATTTTTGGTTTTATTAGTTACTGATGTAAACAGGGAAAAGTACCGTAAATCTGCAAAAAGAAAATTGAAGTAATTTAGTAGGTGAATGCAACAGTGATACTTCTAACTATACAGATGGATAGAAAATACTACATCTTGAGAATTCAAAATCTCTTGGAAAAAATATTTTTTTAAGGTTAAATATAAACTGGATTTAGGTAAGGTAAGCTAGTATAGGCCTTGACAAATCAGTGAAGCAAATTTTCATCTACTTGTAGTGTCCTATCAGGGAGAGATCCTACAAATGACAGTGAAGTGCAAAATTTCTGAAAACTGTATTAGGTCATCTGCAGTAGTTTGAAGCAGATGTGAGAAAACCAAGGTTTTATACAGATTTTATGGAAAGGAATTAGATGCTTACCTATAAGCTGAAGTGTTCTCTAATACAGTGTTATATTTCTGAGTGTCTTTCATCATTGACCATTGAACCTCTTTAGTGTTTAGAAAAATATTGAGATCTAAAAGCAAAATTCTGCATCTGAGAGACATCCCTATTAATACAAAAGAAAATTAAAATTAGTTGTGGGGAAGAAAATGTCACCTTATTTTAAGGACTAAAATTTGCTGTGTATTTTCTTTATAGCTAAGTTAGGTCAGTGTTTAGTGGCTAACTCAATTTTTTAAAATGCTTTTGGACAGGGTTTATTCACTAGATGAATGAGCATCTGATTATATTTTTTCAACTAAAATATTTTCATGTTTCTTTCAAATTAAGCTGCAATAGGAGGAGGGATCATAGAAGTAGGAATTTGCACTATGCAACATTTAAATCACAGTGATTAAGGTTAATCTAGCCCTGCTAATTAAATATAGGACTTATACCTTTTTTACACCTTGATTCTGTATGTAGCTTCTGAGTAATTACCTAGCTGGTAAGAGTAAAATCTCCACCTGTCCATGAAATATTGACAATATGAGAATAGTTTAGGCTGTTACATTTTCAGTGCACCTTTCAGTTTAATTTGGTATATGGTAGTTGCAGATTTTATATAATTGTTACAAAAGTGCTGTATAAAGATGAAGATTTAATCTGAAGGAATTTTTCATGTTAACAATTAATACCATGCATAGTCTGAAAACTAAGGTTTATTTGTTAATTTTTAAATTTTATAAAGTTTAAAATTGAAACATGCCCTCACTGACAGCTTGGGTAAATAAAAGAGTTAACTTATTTTCCTTTTCTTTTTAATTTATGACTTGCATGCCTCTAAGTTAGCATTACAAGAAAATATGTTGTTGTGCTTTCTTTGCTTTTTGTGCCATTAACCTGTATCATCTTTGTTCCTTCAAGTACTTGAGAAATGTTCGTTAACCTCTAATAAATGTTGAAAAATAATCGGACGCTTTTCAGACTTGCCAAAAGAGAATTACAACATTTTAGCAGAAGATAGGAAAAAAGTTAACAGAAGCTTTCACAGAATTTATGCAGGCATTTTTGTCAGTTAAATATACATAATAACTGGAAATTATGGTGATATTTTTTGTAAAATAAATTTAGATTCTCATAAAGCAACTGAGAATCTGGTGCTAATATTTTAGTGCTAGGCTTTTGCAGCAGATGTAGGCAAGAAAGGCTCTGCATTCTGTTCAGTGTGAGGGTTGTGGAATCCATTGGAATCCTCTCCATTCAGGTGAATGTGTTCAGCAGATACAGACATGGTTAAGCAGTTAGAAGAATTTAGTTTAAGTGCAAATGGCAGAATAGATATTCAATAGTATACAGACTAGTATATTTATTTAAAACAAATATATTTGATTAATAAGTTGTTTGTTGAAATGGGAATTATATGTTTCTTGTAAGGAACTCTAACCATGCTATGAGTTTTTAAGACCAAATCCTTATATCTCTCACACATTTATGAGTGTGTATTTTAGTTTGCAATGTCATAGTTTTATTTTAAAGGTCTATTTTCCATCACAGGAAGCTACAGTGTGAAGATAGGCTTAAATGTGCAAGAACAAGGTTTATAGAGCTTACAAAATTATTTGCCATTTATTCTTTAGATCAAATGTGTATTGCTTTTCACATTTTCATCCCGTATAAATACTTGATTATTCTCTACAATTCCAGGGCAGCTGAAATTCTCTACTCCTTGGCTTTAGTACAGTCCAGTAAATCTGAGAAGATGAGTGTATTTCCTTCTGTGGATAACTATAAATTGCTGACAGAAGCTAGGAGGAACCTTGGACTCTTCCAGCATCATGATGCTATTACAGGAACAGCCAAAGATTGGGTAGTTGTGGATTATGGCACCAGGTAATTCATTATAAATACACAAACTTAAATCTTAATCTCCTTTTGCATTTTTAAAACTGAAGGGTTTATTTCAGACATGCAGATTTGATACAGAAATATACTCCACTGAAAGAGTAGAGGTGCTCTGCACAAAAAGTAGCTTTGTTTACTCATGCTCTTCATTTATGCAGTATTTTTTAACCCTCTGAGTAAGAATTTGGTGTCCAAACAAAATTTTGATGGTGTCCAAACAAAATTCTGATATTTCATTAATAGCAGAATTTTTCTGCAGTAAGTAGGAGAACTTTTTATATTTGTCTGTCATAAGCAATAATCAAAGATGTGCTAATTTAAGCATATGTTCCTTGGAAAATCCCACACACTCTGTAGCCTACCTGTCTTAAAAGTGGGAAGTCTTTCATGTTAAAATCTTCTGTTTAACTTGTCTGTCATTGTTTATTGTTTCATCTGGGGGGTTTTTCTCAGTATTGAGAAATTATTCTGTCAGCATCTTCATAGAATTTTTTGAAGAATATTGCATAATATATGTATGTCTGTGCATGCTTTAATTATGGGTTTGTTCAGAAAATGACTTCATATTGGAATGTTAAGAACTAGTAAATTTGATTAATTGAAGTGATGATGGTAGATTGATGCTATAGCATGTTCATTAAACAGATAATTATTTTAAATGCATCTAAAATACTCTTTCTTGTTTAAAACTATTTCATGACAACTATTTTTAAATTCTATATTTTTTATCCACCAAATCATAAATATTTACAATGCACTTAGTTACAAGAGAATGAAATGAAGGCATTTTTCACTTTACCAATAAAATTATCTCTCTGTCTTTAGAAATTTGTGGACATCTTGGTAGTTTATATAGTTTATAGTTTATATTTTTTGTGTTTCTGATTGTTCTCTTAATCCTGTATAAACACAGTCTTGACTTCCTGACAAGTGTTTCAGGCTTGTCTCCACTATAGAAACTGAAAATCAAATATACAAATTGCAAACCTTCCTAAGATTAGGATTTTGAAAAAGTACTTGGTATTCTGAGGATACACCTTTGGTAGCACAGCATACAGGAGATGTACCTCACTTTCAGTATGCAGGACAAGAATATAATTCAGAATATTTCTGCATTTTTCAGGCTGGCCGCTGATTGCTACTGTTCTTAATTTCATGCTATATTGATGCTAAAATTTTTATTTATTTTTCTGCAACTAATATTTTTGAGTTCTTTAATGTATTTAAATTTTGATGTTACAGCATTGAATAAAACCAGTTGAAAACTAACTATGATTTTAAATGTTTTAACAGGCTTTTCCATTCAATAATGAATTTGAAGAAAGTAATAATTGACTCTGTTCATATTCTCATCCTAAAAGACAAAAGTGCTTATAACTATGACACAGCAACTCCGCTCCTGAAGATGGTGAGCTCTCTCCCTTGATTTTTTCTAAAAATGAAATGTGAACTATGTCTTTTGAATTTAGTTTGAGTAGCCCTGGGAAACATCAGAATTAAATTTGAACCTAATGTCTTCTCAGAAATGTGCTACTTATCATTCTTCACATTAACTGAAGATACTAGAAATTAAAAAGCGAACTTATCAGTAGTTGATGCTGAAAGAAAGCCCATGTGGCTAAAGGAAAGGGACTTTTGTTCCCCTTTGTGAGTTAGATAGTAAAAGCAGGTATTCTAAATTTCTTGTGGGCATAAATTTGTTGGTGACTTAAGTAACATACATATGTAAGTGAATATATAACAGTACGCAGTCCTGAGAGTTGGCTTTGCTTCACAGAGGAGCTTAAGAAATGTGGGGAGAAAAAAATTCCCATCCCTAACAGAAGTCTTAACCTTGTTTTCAAGATTAGATCAAGACAGTACTTTGCGCCCTTTTTACTTTGCTGAAATTATTTGAAACAGGAATGTTCAATGAAGTGGATGATAAAGTCAGCAATGGATCCTCATGTATCATTTTGAAACCTATTTTACAGTGAAGAACACCTTGAAGAAAAACACTTCTAATATTACTGCCTTTCAGAATTCTTAGTTTCTTCATTTTCTGAACAAAAGTGCTCTTTTGTGACAGCTATGAATTTTTAGAAAGTCTACTTAATGCATTTACCCTGAAGATAGACAAAATGACATACTTTTAAGTTCTTTGTGCATAAACACAGCGGGGTTAGGACAGTCTTTATGATATGATTATCTCACACTTCTGACATAACAAACATTACATACGTTCAACTGGTTTAGTTGTGTCATGTCTTGAACTACTCTTCAGTCACATGTGCACATAAAAAAATTTGTTAATAGTTCTTTATACTTTTTATTGCTTTTATATAAATATATATGTGTATATTTATATAGATATATATGCTGCATTTTTATACTATGTGCTTGTGTGTCACAAATATATAATTTTTCTCCTCTTTGGAAAATGAATATGCACTTTCATAAAGTAGGAATATTTTGAAGGCAATAATGGGATGAAGGTTTTATTTCTGATCTGAATTATGTTGGAAGATGTTGCGATGTTACATTTTACTAAACTTTTGTTGTTCCTGTACTTCATCAGTCTGGATTAATACCACTGCATTGTGGAAGTGCTAATTGCTGTTTAAACTGTATATTGCCTAGGAGCATACTAACTCAATAAGCTGTTATTACCATTGTGAAAGCAGAAATTAAAAGGGAAGTTTTTATTTAAATTAATTTATTGTTTCTATATAAAACAAAAAACCAAGGTGATTACTAAAGCAGATTAAGATTTGTCTGTATGCCACACAATATCTACAGCACTATATCATTAATCTAGTATCTCTGCTATACACTGGATATAGCAACAAAAGCTTTTTGATGTGGGATTTGTAGACTGTTAACAGGAGAACTTCAGGATACTTACAGAACACCTTTGCAAACCTTGAGCAAGTTGGAAGTTCAAAGACATTCATTTTGGAGTACAGATTGTGGTATTTTGGTGGCTGATGGAAGCTGACATCAAGAATTGCTGAGAGATGGGCATCCAGAATGAATGTCAAGAGAGTTGAGAAAGACAAATGATGAAGACTCTAAGACTGAAAGTGGCTGTTGTTTTTGAGGGGTGAAGAAGTAAAAAACACTTAGAAGAGCAGAGCACAGTACTGTAGCAGCAGCATTCCAGCAGGTAGCAGGTATAGCCAGGGAAAAGTTCCCTTTCTTGGAGGCAGAAAAAAGGAGGTTGGGAATAAGACACTATTGAAGAACTCTGGAATGACACCACTTTTTCTATTCTTAATTATTAGTTGTGCAAAAAAGCATCATGATTTTTGTGGTTGATAACTGAATACTTTGTACTTCTTGTGTTAAGTTTTGCAAATTCTACACTAGTCAACAAACAAAAAACCACTTGGAAGGCAATACACTGATAAAGAGAAGACACTTAAGGATCCCAGAATGACCCAGGTTTGGTTGGATCATCGATGAGGGTCAAACTGTAAAAATAAAGCTGCAGCCATTACAATATTCCTGTACATTAGTCTTAGTTCTTTCAGTGCAGAAAGAAAATTTAGATGTAAGTGACAATTTCTGGATTTGAAAAGCATGATTTTAAGGAAATTTTGAGGAACTGAAAACTCTGCATTTCAATTTCAAAGTCTGTGATGGTCACCATTGTAAGAACTGACTGGGATGCACTGTGAATCAGCAGTTTGGCTGTTCTCAACAGTGACAGCAATGTTTTGTCTCTCCCTTTCCTCAGTGGAAGTGAGCCCCATAATTTAGGGTTTGGTGAGTACCACACCACACCTCAAATTATGTTTTTTGAAATTTTTTCATTTTGTACAACATGAGGTAACAGTGAAAGCTCACAGGAGACTACACAGTGAATCCTTGTGGTAAGTGCACGGAAGTATATTGTTTCAGAGTAAATTTATATCAGGAGAAGTTTAATAAAAGTATGTGATAAGTATTTGCAAAATTTGATGGAAGTTGGTGATTATGAAGTCTTGTGTGCAAAAATGAAAACACAGGTGTAATAATTTGATAATGGAATGTAATAAGGTCTTTAATGAAAACAAATATTTCACAGTGAATTGGTCAAAGTAAATGTCTTTCTTTTGTCAGTGTGAAGTATTTAGTTTATTAAATTTTTTGGTTTGTCATCCTCAGTAATGGGCTAAAATAAGATTTGGTTTCTGGTGTTGTTAATATGGCTTTGTACTCCACAAAATGCATATAATAGACAAAGCTCATATATTATTACCATTGAAGTGTATCCAAAAGCAAATTCAAAGATGTTCTCTTGTAGGATGATGTTCAGGCTTCTCAAGATTCTTTGCCACGCAAGACAGTTATAAAGCTGACATTGCAACCAAGGTAAATAATTTACATATTACTAAGTATCTGAGATTCTTTTAGCAATATATGTATTTTCTCTACCTAGTAGGTAGTTTTTGATGCCATTTCCTTTTATTTATTTTTTAAAATTTTTGTTCAAAATAGAGCTAAAAAGTTTAAAAAAATAAAGAAAATTCAAAAAATTATTCTGGGCGATTATGCTAATATTATGTCTAATTGAAAGAGGACACAGCATGTTAAAACTATAGGTATTTCTCACATACCACAGCTAAAGTAAGTGTTCTGTTTTTGACTGCTTTTACAGCATCGTAATAGATTGTGCTTGATTGTGTAATAGATTGTGCTTGAGAGAAGAAATAGAAGATTCTAATTAAGCATAATTACATGTGCCTCAATTAATTCTGTGAAAAAAATGTTAAGTTTTTATAAGGCCTAAAAATCACAATTTATAAATACTGAATTGTGTTTAAAAATCAAGTAGAAGATCAGCTAGGATACTGTTCTCTCTTAACTCCAACTTTCCATTATATTAAGAGGAGTTATTTTTTTATTTATATGCAGTTGTAGGGTATTCAGCTGAAATTTGCATCCTGCTATACCCATGAACACTCAGTATACCAACTGAAATAATGTAAGCATTAACTTAAAGTGGCTGATCCAATAAAGTGAATAAGATGTCTGGGTATAAGAACTGCTGTAAATCAAATAATGTCTCTGTAAATCAAATAACGCAAGGTTTTTGCTTACAGAACAGAAGATTTCAGATTAATTAAAAAAGCAGTGAATTCTATTTTTTCTGATGTTAGTATCTGATTTCTCTAGTTCTAGTGGCAAACTAATAAGTCTTACTTGCCTAATTGATGCAGGTGTCCAACTATTCAGCTAACTAACTGCTACTAAAAATATAGTTTAAAAATATAGTTAAAGTCTTTGAAAAAATGAGTAAAGTTTATTTCTTGTGACCTTTTGGGGGAAGCTGTCTTCAGTCTTCCAGCACTATATATACCTAACATGTCTAGTGTACACTTTTCTCTATAGAGTGTTTTTTTTTTTTAATAGGACTTCTCTTATTGGAGCACTATATAGGTGCTAGAAGATTATCTTAAACTTGTCCAAAATGACCAAGAACTCGGGTGCCTATTTATTTAACTAAAATGTTTTAGCTAGGATTGTATATGTAGTATATAAGCACTTGGTTGGAGGCAAGTAATGATGTGTATTTTCTTTGCCATTTGAGGATAGCTTTATTGCCTTTGCTTTCCTTATCTATTTTAGCTGTTGAAATTTTCCCCGTGCCCTTTTCATTCCCTAATACACCTTTTGTTTGCATACAGTGTTCCACTTTTGTCTCTGCATAATAGGATAAGTAAGTTTTTCCCTTTTTGATCTTAATTCTTTTCAGATATTTGCCTTTTTTGCCCCCTCTGACTTGTCAATTAAATATATATATATGACATTAACAATAATATTATTCTGGCAGACTACTGCTGCTATTCTCTAAACTGGTCTTAATTTACTAAGAAAATAGTACTAGTAGAAAATTACTAACTTCATATTGTCTGGTATTGTGAAGATACCATAGAGTCATATAAGGTACAATGATACATGTTCCAAAGACTGCAATCAGAAATATGGGAAAAAGAATGAAGAGGGGAAAAATGAGACAGAAAGCGCAAAGAAAGATTATAAGAGAATATTGATATTATTGACTAAATATTGATATTATTGACTATTGACTGGGGTTTTCTGGAAACACTTTGAAAGTAATGCATAAGTGTACAGTACCTTTTACATGTTTCACTTGTTAAAATTTTCATTTGTGTATCTCTTTGTTAAACTGTTTTTGCTTATAAAAATTAGCTTAGTCTCTTTAGGCTTCTAACTCTATCTCTGGTTGTAGTCTGAATCTCCACTAACTTTATTACCATTGGGAAAAGTGGTATGTAAGCTGATGCTATAACTACTGGTTAAATCTAGTATGTGATTATTATGATTGCATCTGAATTTTCTTGTAGCATTTAATGAGAAATGTTATTTTCAGTAGAAGCTTAAACTCATGTCAATAAATCTAAAAATTACTACGCTTAAACTTCAGACTTCAAAGTTTATAAGAAGGAAACTCTTTTTTTTTCCATTTATAGTTTTGGGGCATCAGCAGATTTTAAAAACTGATTTTCACCAAAACTTTGTTATTTGCTTATCTTCTGTTCTTAATAGTCTTTATTATTAATCTGTGTGTAATTGAATATCTAGATTTCTTTCCACTAGTGTGTTCTAATATGTCATTATATGGCATAGAAATTAAATCAATGTAACTGGCAAGATGTTACTTTTCTTTAATTGCTATTTAGCTTTTCATATTTTCGCATTTATGTCAGAATTTAAAAAAATATCTGTATTCTATCTTGGTTATTCTTACATAAGTGTGGTTCATATCAACTGTGCTTTTACAGTGACACTGCAGATGGGAAACTCGTAAGGGCTTTTCAACTTTTTTTTTTTCTTATTTTACTGATTGCAAATATAATCAGCTTTCTTCAGTACCATGGTTGGTAGTGTGCCTCTTGCCTGTTTCATCCATCCCTCCTTTTGGGTATTTTTTAGTTAAGTGTTCTCTTCACTGCTCGTGAAAGTTGTAGTCAGCAGTGAAAACTGATCTGGCAGACTGTATGGGAGCGCTAGGACAATTCTATTATATGGAAGAAAAAGAAAGCAGGAGGAGCATTATCTTTCAGTTGTTAATGTTCTAGTGTGAAGTTTCTCTATATTGTTGTGTTGTTGAGAATTATCTTTCAAACTGCTTCTAAGTAGCTGCCACCTGTAACTGATCTGGTATTTTTTCTGCCCTCATCTGAGCATCTCTTCTCTGTAGTGCTGTTGTTATATCTTTATTAATACCTAAGTGTATTTTTAATGTGTTAATTTCGATGAAATGGGTGTACAGGGTATTTTAGGTCTTAACTTGACTCCATGACCTCAGGGTGACTAAACGGTCTTATGATCAGGCTTTTGAATGCTGAAATTTTGGAGTCTTTAATTACACTAAATCAATTTTAACTGAAAAATGAAGTTGCATGCTTTTAAAAAAAAAATATTTCATTTAGCTGAACAATGGAGCTTTCACAAGATAATATCCAACTGGATATGGATCTACTTCAGTCTTGTTCTAAAGTTTAAAATTACTGCATGTCTTGGAGACAAAGCCCACTGAGCGCGCTGATAAATTGGATGCTGGCTCATGTTCTGTTACTGCCCTGCTATTTGGTATAATAATAGGTTTTCAGGAGCAGTCTACCAGAGGTCATACTTGCTGAATGACAAAAGACTTGCTCTCACTGCATTTGGAGGGTCGGGGGTGTGTTTGACTCTCCTGTCATCCAGATTAGGCTGTCAGCAGCAGGTGAAGGGACACTGGCTGTGAGAGGAAGGGTTTCCCAGCTATTTCTCTGTGCTGTTTTCTGGAGACAGCATTGCAGGGGAGCGTGCTACACAACCTAATGACTGGATTGAGTGTCTGCACCAGTCTCGATCTTGTAGTGGTCTTGTTTGACACAGTATGGTGAACCTTAGTGAAAAGGCCTAACAATGGCAATTAGGTTTTAGCTCTTCTTCCTGCTTCTTATTTTAACTTCTGAACCTTCATGTACCTATCTGGGCAATTTCAATACTGACCTCCACTGCACTCTATCCTATCCGAACTGAAGATACTATGGTACTGAAAAAATTTTAAAAATCATCAATTTAGGATTTTTTTTTGTGCTAAACTAGCTATTCTTATAATTTAAGAACAAACAACTTGTGTCAACTTAGGGGAACAATATGATATAATATCCTTCTTATCAGGCCAGTTTTATAGCTTAGCAGACACTATTTCCACTAGCTGAAATATTTAGGTTGCCTAGGGGATTAATGATAGGAGGATATCAATTATTTCTTCAAAGATCTGTCAAAGCAGTTTAGTGATATCCACCTTATAAAAGAATGTTTCCTTTTTTCAAATAGAGGATACAAAATAATCTTGGCTATTATCCTTACTTTGTTATCCTTGAGCAGGTTTTGGCATAAAGTTGTATTTAATAAAGCTTTTGGCATAAATTGTGTTTATACCATTACATCCAAAATGCATGGTATTTTTTGAGAAAGAAAATCCCAATTCACTTCTACAATTTTTCAACTTGATAATATTTTAAAAAATTATTTGGCAGAGTATTCACTGCTTTTTCAGCACAGCACTTTAATGCAAAAATTAAATCTATATTGCTAACTTTAATGTGTGATAGAGAATAATGTACCAAAGTCAAAAATTCTTGAGAGAGCAGTGTGTATGGTACTGTATTTGGTTGGATGACTACAGCAAGAATAATTTGAGAAGGAAACTTTGTTAGTCACATGCCATAACTATGTCTTTGTGAGCTTAGAATGTGACTAGATCAACGTAATACTCTTTATTTGGTAACTTTTGCTTTGGTGATTTTTTTTTGTTTCCTTTTTTTTTTCCCTTTAGAACTGTGTTGCCAGTTTTGGTACAATCTATCTAAACTTTAGTCTAATGTAGTTACAAGGAGAGGATCCTTCAAGAGCATTTGACATTTTAATAATAAACATCTTAAATGCCTGTTATGCTTGCATGATTTCAGAAGCATAGGTATTCCTAGTTATACTCCAAAACTGCTGGGAAAAAAAAGGACAGTGGTAGAAAAGGTATTTTCAAATCTCAATGAAGGGAAAAAAAAAACAATTTTAAAGAAAACAAAAAACTGTAACATTTAAGATGTGTTCATATAAATATTTGTGGCAGTTCATGCATTGTGAATATACACACCTGTTCCCCAGAGAAGAAAACAGATCTTGAAAAAACAAGCAAACAAACCAACCAATACTTTTAAGTTTTGATTGGATGGAATAGTGATCACAAAATGCACAATGTTGTGTGTTTAAGTGAAACTTCTGTATTAGTATCTTTCAGGGAGGAGAGCAGGACAAATACTCATTCAGTCAAGCCTTAATACTCACTGCTT